ACTCTTGGTGGTAGTTATTTCAACCCTGAGAGTCCTTGGAAGAATAATAACACTGTTGGTGGTAGTTATTTCAACCCTGAGAGTCCTTGGTAGAATGATAACACTGTTGGTGGAAGTTATTTCAACCTTGAGAGTCCTTGGTAGAATAATAACACGGTTGGTGGGAGTTATTTCAATCCTGAGAGCCCTTGGTAGAATAATAACACTGTTGGTGTGATTTATATCAACCCTGAGAGCCCTTGGTAGAATAATAACACTGTTGGTGTGATTTATATCAATCCCGAGAGCCCTTGGTAGAATAATAACACTGTTGGTCGGATTTATATCAACCCTGAGAACCTTTGGTTGAATAATAACGCTGTTGGTGAGATTTTAGTTGTAGATGCACGCAAACTCATTATGAGCGAAAGTAAAAAGATACCTGGTTGGCGTTATGTAACGTAGTTGATGATTGGTGAGAATTTAGCATCTGAGTTCATGATTACAGAATAATCTCTTTCTCTCTCTCTCTTTCTAAGTAGTCCAGAGAGAATGAAAAGTATATGATTTGATTGTGACATTAAAACTTTTTTTTTAATATTATTAAATCTTCAGGCACCTTGTACTTCTAACGGAATTTCTTGTAAAATATTTGTCTTACTGAAGTTCACATGTTTAGCTCATGTTTTCAGAAACTAATTCTACATAAATAAATTACAACCGTTGGTGATACAACATAATATTATAATGTAAAAAATAAATTTACAGAAAGATGCAGAATATAATGTAAAAAACAGAAGTACTTTTTTTTCGTTTATCACTTAGAAGCTCATTGAAATCTGACGTTTCAATAAAATAAAAACTGAATCTATAAAAATATGAATTGTACAAAAGTATATCACAGGTCATTCATTTTAGTTTGGTAGTATTTTATTTATTTCAGTTTACATTTAGTAAATTCCTGGAACTATGTGCAAGAGCTATACATTATTTCATAAAAGTTAGAACTTTCAATTCAAGCTGTCTGGCCCGGCATGGCCAGGTGGTTAGGGCGCTCGACTCGCAATCTGCGGGTCGCGGGTTCGAATCCCCGTCACACCAAACATGCTCACCCTTTCAGCCGTGGGGGCGTTATAATGTGACGGTCAATCCCACTATTCGTTGGTAAAAGAGTAGCCCAAGAGTTGGCTGTGGGTGGTGATGACTAGCTGCCTTCCCTCTTGTCCCTCCACTGCTAAATTAAGGACGGCTAGCGCAGATAGCCATCGTGTAGCTTTGCGCGACATTCAAACAAACAAACATGCTTTTATAAACTACTTTTTTTTTTTCTAAAATATTTATTTATCCAACAAATTGCTTTGTTTGTTACAGGATTTTGATTTGAATTAATAATGTGACGGTCAATTCGTTGGTAAAAAAAATAGTAGTGGATGGTGATGACTAGCTGCCATCCCTCTAGTCTTACACTACAAAATTGGGGACGGCTAGCGCAGATAGCCCTCGTGTAGCTTTGCGCGAAATTCGTAACAAACAATCAAGTTGTCTTCTTGTTTCATAGTTTGTTTTTTTTTACAGAAATTTTCTACATTTGTGTGCGTCGCTCTTAGTCTCTTCATTGGATCTGTCATTCTTGGTAAGTCGATTTGAAAATTTTGATAAAACTAGTAAAAACCAGCGTCTAATAGAAACTTGTTTAATATTCATTTCTCAAGATTACGTCACGCATAAAACATCACTTTTAAATGAACTTGATCTATCTCTGACTGGATCGTATTTACATAATAATAACCAAACGACAGATGTTTGTTTTTACAAATAATACAAAATGAGCTTGCACACTTATTGACATTTGCCTCTATTTTCGTTACCCAATTTGAAATTAGATACCCAAGTCTTGATGGTCAAGTAACTTGATTCAACAACACCAAAAAATGCACTTTGGCCTCGAGCCAATAAAACTGTAAATTGACGTTTTGATTTTTATCGCTGCCAGAGAATATTCATAAGTAAGTAATTATTTGTGTGTGTGCTGTATTGCACGTTTTGTAAATAATCATGATCGTCAGATTAAGCAGTTATACCTAATGTTTTATGAGTTAAGCAGTTATACCTAATGTTTTATGAGTGACAATATTTGAACATTATGTAAATCATGCTTATTTTTGTAGTATATAATTAAAACTTTAACATTTCATAAATATAGATCCATTATAGAATACACATTTAGAACTTTATTTTTTATAAAATATTATTGTATGCAGTTAATATTTTTACATTTTGTAAATATTACTTAATTAAAAGTTTAAGATTTTATTAGTAATGATTGTTATTGGTGTATGGAGTTAGATATTTAGTGTTATTTAAATAATGATTACTCGGTGTATAATATTGTATAGATAAATAAAATAATTGGTTAATACAAGTAAGAGTTTAATGTTTTGTAAGTACAGATGATTATTAGTGTATACATTTATGTGTTTAATGCTTAATAAATAATTATAATAATTAAAGTATCTATAGTTAGAATTTGAGCGAAATAAAGTTTCAGATAAATCCAGATTTCTTATTTTTCAACAAAAGAAACTTGAATAACGGGAATACATTTTTTAATTATTTGTTCATGATATTTATATGATTATTATAAGTTTATAATAGCACCTGATGTAAGGTATTGTTTGGTACGAGCTCTTTCAGAAAGTTTGTGCCATGTCTCGATCAAAATATAGGGTTCTAGTTTTCCTGTTTCACCAAGTGGTTTCAGGTTTTATCAGATTTTACTTTCACTGCTGCTACTACTGTGCTAAAAAAAGATAAGCTGGAACAGATAGTAGAACTATCATAGATCGTGACAGGTTACTCACATCTAATGGCGTCTATGGCTTAGCCCTATCTATCCACCGTATATTCAGTTTTACTAAGCTGCGGGTAATAAGTACAAGTGCTACTTGTACTGAACTAAATTTCTGTTATTATAACAGCTGCTAATTGGATCCTTCAGTTTTGAAGACTGTATTGTGTGTAGTGGCCAGTTTCTTGGTTGGCTTCTCCATGTCACGTAATTTGTGTTTCATTTTACATATTCTATTTATGGATAAGTATGGAATATTAAAACGATCAAACAACTCACACGAAGACTTAGTTTCATAATTTAGAAAGTTATAATATAAAACACAATTTGATGTCTAGAAAGGTACTTTCAACCCCCGATGTATTTGATGTATTTTGTAATGTATTTTAGATGAAAACAATTCTAATTAATAGTGAATATTTTTAGGTTTATAATACGTATTACTTTTCATTGCTTCATAATTGTGAAATTATTCTGTATGATTTTTTTAAAAAAAAGCATTAACTTTCTACATATTCAAACCCTAACTGTGTAATTCCTTTTATGTCTATCACTTCGTGAAAAAATATTTTAAATTTATACTCCAAATATTTAATAAACATTTATTAAAAACAGGTAATTAGGTTTAATAATTATAAAATATCACGTAACTTGTTAAGCAACTGAATGTAATTTAGTATATTACAGATTCTAAAAGTAATAAAAGTAACTGTATGAAGATAAAAAAAAATCAAAAGTCTTACTACTAAATAAAAAACAACCATCTTTAGTTTAAGCCTTTCGTTAGGACAACTACTTTAGCCGCTAGAGAGAATAGCCAACTCAATATTTTGTTCACAAACACTGATTTTTAAGCGCTTGGATACGAATTGATAAAAAACAAATCTGGATTCAACTTTCCTTTCATTGGTTAATTTTTTCTTTTAGTCTCTAACTACGGTTCTGATTGGCATGTGGCACAGTCTACGATATACACTTCCCATCGTGCCTTTTCTAGACAGAAGGTTGAAACAGGCGTGGGAGTACACATTGGCTTCAATGGCGTCAATATAACCCTCCGAGGTAACAACGAGTGCTAATGGTTTACTGTATTGAATATTTTATTTACTCTAATATTGGGTGTAACTGTATATAGTTAACCTTAGAATACAATGCTAGTAATAATTTTAGCTGAACGTATGAGGTTGTGTTTGATATTTTTATTTTTGCTTATTTATGGTGCAAGTAATACTGTAATAAATTACCGTTTAAATTCAACATGTAACTACTTGGCAGTTGTAATGTCCCACACACACACACAGCAAAAGCTCTCTCTGACCTTTGGGACCATTAGTATGAATAAGAATGACAGTCAAATCCAACTATTAGGTCAGACAAAAGTAACCCAGTAGTTGTCAGTAGATGATGTTGACTAGCTGCCTTCTCTAGTTTGGGAAGGACGTGGCCTAGTAGCTAGTGCGCCGAACTGTGGATCCAAAGATCCATGGTTCGTGTTTCGTTGCCGCAAAATCGCGTTCCTCACTTTGTAACCCCATAAGTGCGTTAAAAGAGTGACAGTCAAATTCACCTATTCCAATAGATTACTCCTGGAATTGGAGATGGGTGCTACTGACTATCCACCTTCTCTCTAGTCCAGTGATTCTGAACGTGGGGTGCACGCCCCACAGGGGGGCAATTTGAAAATGTTACAATAAGAAAAAATTTACATTATATTATTATACCTTTTCAACACCAAATTTGTTTTTATATTAAGGGGCATCAAATGTTTTGAGGTGTCGAGATGGGGCATGGAGCAAAAAAAGGTTAAGCACCACTGCTCTAGTCTATCAGTTCAAAGGTAGGGGGAAGGTTAGTGTATATAGCAGTTGTGTAGCTTTGTACAAATATCTCCCCCCCAAGTGGCTCAGCGGACTTACGACGCTAAAAATCTGATTTCGACATTCGTGATGGACAGAGCCCAGATAGCTCATTGTGTAACTTTGCGTTTAAGAACAAGTAAAACCAAACCCTCTTTTCTATCAGTTAAAGATTAGGGGGAGGGAAGTTATGTGCAGATAATCCTTTTGAAGCTTTGTGCGAAAATTTGTGAAACAAGCAATTCGCGTATTAATCCTTTTTTTTGTTTAATAAGCTCCCCTCTGGTGGCTCAACGTATGTTTGAGTGTTTATAAGGCTAAAAACCGCGTTTCGATACCTGCAGTGGCACAGCCCATTGCATAGCATTATGGTTAATAGTAAACAAACTATTCAAAATATAAATTTGGTTTCATGAAGTTATTCCAACAATTGTTGTTATTTTCCCAAACTTTTAGTATGTTTCTGTAAGTTGATCAATATGATGTAATCCGATAGAAATGGCTCGTAATTATTGATTGTATTTTGATCAGCTGTGCCGAAAAATATATTTTTGGAAGACATAAACTACAACGAAAGATTTAACTGGATTGAAGGTAAGCTTTTTATTATTGTTTGAAATCAAATAATGTATTGAATCCAGTCTTTACTAGACCTTTTTTATTATTGTTTGAAATCATATAATGTATTGTATCCAGTCTTTACTAGAGCTTTTTTTATTATTGTTTGAAATCAAATTATGTATTGTATCCAATCTTTACTAGAGCTATTTTTATCATTGTTTTAAATCATATAATGTATTGTATCCAGTCTTTACTAGAACTTTTTCATTATATGATTTCAAACAATAATAAAATA